CCTGATCAAGATTTTGAAAATATTCGGCTTCAAATCGAGATTTTGAAAATTCCAAAAAATTCCCTTATTACATTTTGGTAATTCTGGCAAATTGGTAAGAAAATTTGAAGAAATGACGACGAAAAAACCTGATGAATGCGTATGAATATCAAAACAATTTAAAAATATTCGGGTTCAAATTTAAATTTTTAAAATGTCTCATGTTTTATTTTGCCCGTTCTGAAAAAATAGTGCAAATTTTTAAAGAAATAAGGTTAAAAAAAACCTCTGGATTTGAAATCATAGTTGGGCCAAATTTTCCAAATATTTGCTTTCGAATTGGAATTTTTAAGAATCTCTTATTATGTTGACCATCCTGGAAAAATGGTACGACTTTTTGGTGAAATGGAGGGGAAAACAAGGGAATTTTTGAAAAAATTCAGCCAGAAAATAACTTCGAAGTTCGAAATCAAATAAAAAGATGGTCTGGGAAAGGTCAAAAATTTCATGCTTTTGAAAAATTGGGCGTTAATTAATGTTGTCAAAAAATCCACAAAAAATTCTGGGATGTAGATATCGACGAGTTGAATCGAAAAATATAACTTCTTGATGATGCCGAACCAATATTTTAAAAATATTCGGTTTCAAAATAAGATTTCGAGAAATTCAAAAAATTCACTTATTGGAAAATTAGTGGAAATGTTTGAAAAAATCAAGATAAAAAACATTCTGGAGGTCGAAATCAACATGAAAAGGTCTTGTGATAATTTTCGATGAAGGCTCTGAAAAAGGTCAAAAATGTAATTCTTTTGAAAAATTGAATAATTAGCAAAGTTGTCTAAAAATCCACAAAAAATTTTAGGATGTAGATCTCCATGAATTCAATCGAAAAACATAACTTGCTGATGATTTTGGGTCAAGCTTTTCGAAAAATTCGGTTTCAAACTGGAGTTTTTAAGAATCTCGAAAATTATCCTTATTATTTTCACTATTCTGGAGAAATAGTGGGAATTTTTGAAGAAATTCAGCCTGAAAACAACTTATGAAGGTCGAAATCAACACCAGAATTTTTTGCTAATTTTTGCCGATGCTCGGGAAAAAGTCAAAAATTTCATAGTTTTGAAAAATTGAGCTTTGAGTAATTTATCAAAAAATCTACAAAAAATCTGGGATATACATTCAATGAGTTGAATTAAAAAATATAATTCCTTGGTGATGCCTGATCAAGTTTTTGAAAATATTCGGCTTCAGATTGAGATTTTGAGATATTCTAAAAATTTCCTTATTATATTTTGGTAATTCTGGAAAATTGGTAAAAATGTTTGAAGAAATGAAGACGAAGGAGGTTGAAATAAACTAAAAAAAACTCTGATGATAATTTTGGATGAATGCGTATGAATATCAAAATAATTTAGAATTATTCGGGTTCAAATTTAAATTTTTAAAATGTCGCAAAAATGCCATATTTTATTTTGTGTGTTCTGAAAAAATAGTGCAATTTTTAAAGAAATAAAGTTATAAAAAATATCTGAATATGAAATCATGGTTTGGGCCAAGTTTTCCAAATATTCGCTTTCGAATTGGAATTTTTAAGAATGTCTTATTATTTTGACCATCCTGGAAAAATGGTAGGACTTTTCGGAGAAATGAAGGCGAAAACAAGGGAATTTTTGAAGAAACTCGGCCAGAAAATAACTTCGAAGCTCGAAATAAACATGAGAAGATGGTCTGGAAAAAGTCAAAAATTTCATATTTTTGAAAAATTAGGTTTTAATTAATATTGTCAAAAAATCCACAAAAAATTCTGGGATGTACATATCGACGAGTTCAGTCGAAAAATATATCTTCTTGATTATGCCGAACCAAGATTTTGAAAATATTCGGTTTCAAAATAAGATTTTGAGAAATTCAAAAAATTCACTTATTGGAAAATTAGTGGAAATATTTGAAAAAATAAAGATAAAAAACATTCTGGAGGTCGAAATCAAAATGAAAAGGTCTTGTGATAATTTTCGATGAAGGCTCTGAAAAAGGTCAAAAATGTAATTCTTTTGAAAAATTGAATAATTAGCAAAGTTGTCTAAAAATCCACAAAAAATTTTAGGATGTAGATCTCCATGAATTCAATCGAAAAACATAACTTGCTGATGATTTTGGGTCAAGCTTTTCGAAAAATTCGGTTTCAAACTGGAGTTTTTAAGAATCTCAAAAATGATCCTTATTATTTTCACTATTCTGGAGAAATAGTGGGAATTTTTGAAGAAATTCAGCCTGAAAACAACTTATGAAGGTCGAAATCAACACCAGAATTTTTTGCTAATTTTTGACGATGCTCGGGAAAAAGTCAAAAATTTCATAGTTTTGAAAAATTGAGCTTTGAGTAATTTATCAAAAAATCTACAAAAAATTGCGGGATATACATTCAATGAGTTGAATTAAAAAATATAATTCCTTGGTGATGCCTGATCAAGTTTTTGAAAATATTCGGCTTCAGATTGAGATTTTGAGATATTCTAAAAATTTCCTTATTATATTTTGGTAATTCTGGAAAATTGGTAACAATGTTTGAAGAAATGAAGACGAAGGAGGTTGAAATAAACTAAAAAAACTCTTATGATAATTATGGATGAATGCGTATGAATATCAAAATAATTTAGAATTATTCGGGTTCAAATTTAAATTTTTAAAATGTCTCAAAAATGCCATATCTTATTTTGTGTGTTCTGAAAAAATAGTGCAATTTTTAAAGAAATAAAGTTATAAAAAATATCTGAATATGAAATCATGGTTTGGGCCAAGTTTTCCAAATATTCGCTTTCGAATTGGAATTTTTAAGAATGTCTTATTATTTTGACCATCCTGGAAAAATGGTAGGACTTTTTGGAGAAATGAAGGCGAAAACAAGGGAATTTTTGAAGAAATTCGGCCAGAAAATAACTTCGAAGCTAGAAATAAACATGAGAAGATGGTCTGGAAAAGGTCAAAAATTTCATATTTTTGAAAAATTAGGTTTTAATTAAGATTGTCAAAAAATGCACAAAAAATTCTGGGATGTAGATATCGACGAGTTCAATTGAAAAATATATCTTCTTGATTATGCCGAACCAAGATTTTGAAAATATTCGGTTTCAAAATAAGATTTTGAGAAATTCAAAAAATTCATTTATTGGAAAATTAGTGGAAATGTTTGAAAAAATAAAGATAGAAAACATTCTGGAGGTCGAAATCAACATGAAAATATCTTGTGATAGTTTTCGATGAAGGCTCTGAAAAAGGTCAAAAATGTAATTCTTTTGAAAAATTGAATAATTAGCAAAGTTGTCTAAAAATCCACAAAAAATTTTAGGATGCAGATCTCCATGAATTCAATCGAAAAACATAACTTGCTGATGATTTTGGGTCAAGGTTTTCGAAAGATTCAGTTTCAAACTGGAGTTTTTAAGAATCTCAAAAATTATCATTATTATTTTCACTATTCTGGAGAAATAGTGGGAATTTTTGAAGAAATTCAGCCTGAAAACAACTTATGAAGGTCGAAATCAACACCAGAATTTTTTGTTAATTTTTGACGATGCTCGGGAAAAAGTAAAAAATTTCATACTTTTGAAAAATTGAGCTTAAAGTAATAATCTACAAAAAAATGTGGTATATAGATTTCAATGAGTTGAATCAAAAAATATAACTCCTTGGTGATGCCTGATCAAGATTTTGAAAATATTCGGCTTCAAATTGACAGTTTGAGAAATCCAAAAAATTCCCTTATTACATTTTGGTAATTCTGGCAAATTGTTAAGAAAATTTGAAGAAATGACGACGAAAAAGCCTAATGAATGCGTATGAATATCAAAATAATTTAAAAATATTCGGGTTCAAATTTAAATTTTTAAAATGTCTCAAAAATGCCATATTTTATTTTGCCTGTTCTGAAAAAATAGTGCAATTTTTAAAGAAATAAGGTTATAAAAAACCTCTGGATTTGAAATCATGGTTTGGGCCAAATTTTCCAAATATTTGCTTTCGAATTGGAATTTTTAAGAATCTCATTATTAATTTGACTATCTTGAAAAAATGGTAGGACTTTTTGGAGAAATGGAGGCGAAAACAAGGGAATTTTTGAAAAAATTCAGCCAGAAAATAACTTCGAAGCTCGAAATCAAAATAAAAAGAGAGTCTGGAAAAGGTAAAAAATTTCGTATTTTTGAAAAATTGGGCGTTAATTAATATTATCAAAAAATCCACAAAAAAATTTTGGGATGTAGATATCGACGAGTTGAATCGAAAAATATAACTTCTTGATGATGCCGACCCAATATTTTGAAAATATTCGGTTCCAAAATGAGATTTTGAGAAATTTCAAAAATTCACTTACCTGAAAATTAGCAGAGATTTTGAAGAAATAAAAATAAAAAAACATTCTGGAGGTGGAAATTAACATAAAAAGCTCTTATGATACTTATCGATAAATTTTAAAAATTCCATTAGTATATTTGGTGATTGTGGAAAATTGGTAAAAATGTTTAAAGAAATAAAGACGAAAAAACCTTCGGAAGTCGAAATAAATTAAAAAAACTCTTGTGACAATTTTGGATGAATGCATATGAACATCAAAATAATTTAGAAATATTGGGGCTTAAATTTTTAAAATGTCTCAAAAATACTGTATTTTATTTTGCCTGTGATAATTTTCGACGTGTTGAAAAAAATTAAAAGTTTAATATTTTTGAAAAATTGAGTTTTAGCCAAGTTATCTAAAAATCCAGAAAAAATTCGGGACTAAGATTTTCGAAATTATTTTAAAATTCTAAAAATTGTTTCAGTTAAGATATTTTAAAATCTAAAAACCGCCATATTGTCGCTGATTTTCGAAAAAGAACGTTTTACTGGTTGCCTAACAATCGTTAAATAAAACAAAAATGAATTGCCGTCGCAGTGGCCAATAGACCATAAAGCACCGTGCTGCCACCTACCAAAGCTTTCTAAACACAAAAAGGCGGGAATTTTCAAACAATCGTAATAAACTGTTGACTTCAAACACATCTTTATTCAACTTAGGTATGAACAAATATCACAGAGTTCCTATTAAATACCTCACACAGACATACTAGGTGCTTATTCAAACGAAGACACTCCGTGTAAGCACAAAATTAAAAAATAATTCCTAATAATTAAAATTGGAAAACTACCGTCATCTATCTTTATGTTTATGTTTCTTTTTATGTGAGCTCTTCTTGTGTTCCTTCTTGTGCTTCTTTTTGTGTTTGCTCTTTTTGTCGTCCCCAGACTTTTCCACCCACTCATCACTGTCGTCATTTTTGTACTTAGGTAGCGACTTACTTAGAGCACCACTACTACTACTAGCTAAATTAGTGGGCAATGCAGGCCCGTATGAAAGCTCGCCCTTTTGTGGCTCACTATTTGTACTATTTTCCGTCTGTATGTCCTCTGCTTTCTCTCCACGTCCGTTGCTTGGTTCAAAAATCGAAAAATCCATATTTGATAAAATTCCTTCTTTGATGGGTTTAATCCTCGGCAACAACGAATCCGAAAGCACGCTACTCTTCATCTCTGTACTCTTTTCAACTTTCTCCTTTTCGTTTTCTTCCTCGTCTTCGGACTCGCTACTACTCAAAAATACCGCTTTAAACAAATCGAGGTTTTTATTGACGTCGATCTTCTCGGTTATGTCTTTGGGTGTTTCGTTCACACTTTCTTCCACTTTTGTCGTTTCTTCTTTGTCGCTTTTCTCTTGCGTTTCTTCCGTCGTACCTTCCGTCACTGTGTTACTCGTTTCAGTTTCTACCTCCTCCTCTTGCTTTGTAGACAATCCGGGCTTAAAATCCAACGAAACATCTGAAAACTTCTCGTACTCGAATATCAGATTCTTGGTTCTTTTGCGATTCTTTGACTCGTTTAATTCGCAGTGGGGCTCCGGGACGTTAAACCGTTTACACAAAAGGGTGCAGGGCTGCCAATCTACGGAAATCCGAGTCAAAGGTCCGAACATTTTCATCCTTGCGGCGTCACGCATCTCCTGCGTTCCATGCTCGGTCTCAGTCGGTGGCACGACCTCGAGTATGTTCGACGGATCTTCGGGTGTGGACGCCGCCACGAAACGATCGAAAACGAGATTGCTCGACGACACCGCGAACAAATCAAACGACTTTTTCGGACTAGGCTCGGGTTCTTCCTTGATTTTTTCTACGGTCGTGTTGGTGACTGTCACGACTGGCGTGGTTTCTTCACCCAAATACCGAGCGCGGATTTCTGGGTTCATGTCCTTCCTCTCCGGAGTTTCCGGTTCCGGGAGAGGCTCGAACCGCGACCTTTTCACTTTGTGTTTTCCGGTGAAACTATGAGGGATAGTCGGGGGTGGAAAATTTTCTTTCAGAGCGAGAGGTTGCTTCCCGTGGATAAAATCGTCAAAAATTGTTTTTTCTTTCTTTGACAGGAGCTCCTTCTGGGACGCTTTCTCGCTCGTCAACTCGAAATCGTACTTGGTCATGTCGTCTTTGACGTAGATGTCTTCATCATCGTCCTCGAAAGCCCCCACCCCAAACGCTTGTCCCGAAATAGACACTTTCTTTTTGTTGCGGTCCCTAATCACGAGCTTCGAACTCTGGAATAAATTCACGTGGGTTTTGTCCAAACCCACGTACCCCAACCCAAACGAGTTGTCTTTGGGTTTCTGCAAAAACTCCCGGTATATATCCGGAATGGGATACTGGATGACGTCATCGTCTCGTGAGATTTCGTAAGTCTTCGGCATCTCGCACCCGTACACTTTGTCCTCGCGAGCTAAATCCTCCACTTGAGCGTGCGCCCGATTTTTCAAACCTATGTTTTTTAATAACAGGTACCCGATGGTTTCGTTGCCACTGGTCAACAGCGAGTGCAGGACCGGCTCACCGGGAATGGGACCATCACTGAAAACCTACCCAAACTCGGTCACGTCATAAACCAAAATCGTCGTCACCCACCTGCTTCTTGCGCTTTTTGCTCGTCGAATAATCGCTGGTGGCTCGAACCGTCTGGGGCGCGATCCCGAACTCCCCCATGTCCTCGTCGTCCATGAAGTCCTCGGGTCTCTGCGCTTTGCTTTGAGCCTTGTCGCTCCTGGTGCTCTTGAACTCGCGCGGCGTCCAGCCCTCGAGGGAGCCCACCGTGTTGAAGAAGCCCGCCGAAAAGCCGCCGGTGAAGGCGCCATGGAAGCGGCGTCGGCCTTGGGCGTCGGTGGCGATTTGGTCTTCCACGGAAATGGGTTTTTTCTTGGGGAAGGCATCTACAAAAACAGGTTAGTGACGGGTTTAGGGGGGCGTACGAGTTACCTTCGTCGTAGGGCTCAAGGGGTTTTCCGAAATAACAGAAGTTTTCTTCTTCTGAATCGGACATGGTGTTGTTAGTTGATTAAAGTTTGTGGATGGAAATTGTTTCGTCGTGGAATGAACGGGGCATAACCTTACTTTTGTGTTATGACATTTGGCGGTGGCGTCCTCATTGAGAGTAAGCGGCACACAAGGTGTCGTGTTGGTGCATATTTCAAAGAGGCGGCGTATATGTATTTGGGTTGCTGTATAGGCAACACATAATACACTAATTAAAATACAAAAAATACAACTGATACTAAATTCACACTTAAATACTTGCACTAAAGCTATGCTGGAAAAATCAACATCTAATTCTACTCGATAAAAAGTCTAGTTGGTAGAGCTGCCATCTAGTCCTTTACGCTGAACGCAGTTGGTAGCACGTTGACGTAGCGCTTTAACTCATAGCGGTTCTGATTTAAACCACTTTGACTTTCTGCGAGAAAAGCAAATTGAATAACCAAGAAAAGCCATGAAGAACATTGTTATCCCAAAAATTAAAGACTGCGGTAATGTTTTGACGAAGTCTTATTTTTCCAACAAGAAACTAAAAACGTGTTTAATTATCCTGTTGTTGAGAGAAAACTTTATACATTAAAACAAAAAAAAAAGGTTTAGCCCCACCCACCCACCCGTGTCTCAATTGTCATGAATTTCATATGATAATTTCGTGTAGAGGAATGAGAGTTTTGCAACTAAACTCCGCCCTTCAGCTCACATTCATCACAATTGAGAAAGGGTGGGTGGGCGGGGCCTATATTTTGTCCATTTTTCATAATATACAAAGTCTTCTTTTTCCAAGAAGAAACTGAAACCATGTTTAATTATCCTGTTATTGAGAGAAAACTATACATTAAAACAAAAAAAGATTAAGCCCCACCCACCCACCCCTGTCTCAATTGTGATGAATTTCATATCATAATTTCGTGTAGAGGAATGAGGATTTTGCAACTAAACTCCGCTTTTCAGCTCACATTCATCACAGTTGAGAAAGGGTGGGTGGGCGGGGCCTATATTTTGTCCATTTTTCTTAATATACAAAGCCTTCTTTTCCCAAGAAGAAACTGAAACCATGTTTAATTATCTGTTATTGAGAGAAAACTATACATTAAAACAAAAAAAGATTAAGCCCCACCCACCCACCCCTGTCTTAATTGTGATGAATTTCATATCATAATTTCGTGTAGAGGAATGAAGATTTTGCAACTAAACTCCGCTCTTCAGCTCACGATGAATAAAACATTAATCACAGTTGAGAAGGGGTGGGTGGGCGGGGCCTATATTTTATCCAATTTTTCTTAATATACGAAGTCTTATTTTCCCAACAAGAAACTGAAAACATGTTTAATTATCCTATTGTTAAGAGAAAGCTCTATACATTAAAATAAAAACAAAGATTAGGCCCACCCACCCACCCCTGTCTCAATTGTGATGAATTTCATATGATAATTTCGTGTAGAGGAATGAGAATTTTGCAACTAAACTCCGCCCTTCAGCTCACGAGGAATAAAACATTAATCACAATTGAGAATGGGTGGGTGGGCGGGGCCTATATTTTGTCCATTTTTCTTAATATACAAAGCCTTCTTTTCCCAAGAAGAACCTGAAACCATGTTTAATTATCCGGTTATTGAGAGAAAACTCTATACATTAAAACAAAAAAAAAAGATTAAGCCCCACCCACCCATCCCTGTCTCAATTGCGATAAATTTCATGTCATAATTTCGTCTAGAGGAATGAGGATTTTGCAACTAAACTCCGCCCTTCAGCTCACAATAAATAAAACATTAATCACAATTGAGAATGGGTTGGTGGACGGGGCCTATATTTTGTCCATTTTTCTTAATATACAAAGCCTTCTTTTCCCAAGAAGAAACTGAAACCATGTTTAATTATCCTGTTATTGAGAGAAAACTCTATACATTAAAACAAAAAAAAAAATTAAGCCCCACCCACCCACCCCTGTCTCAATTGTGATGAATTTCATATGATAATTTCGCGTAGAGGAATGGGGATTTTGCAACTAAACTCCGCCCTTCAGCTCACGATGAATAAAACATTAATCACAATTGAGAAGGGGTGGGTGGGCGGGGCCTATATTTTGTCCATTTTTCTTAATATGCAAAGTCTTCTTTTCCCAACAAGAAACCGAAAAATGTTTAATTATCTAGTTGTTGAGAGAAAACTCTATACATTAACAAAAAACAAAGATTAAGCCCCACCCACCCACCCCTGTCTCAATGGCGATAAATTTCAGATCATAATTTCGTCTAGAGGAATGAGGATTTTGCAACTAAACTCCGCCCTTCGGCTCACGATAAATAAAACATTAATCACAATTGAGAAGGGGTGGGTGGGCGGGGCCTATATTTTGTCCAGTTTTCTTAATATACAAAGCCTTCTTTTTCCAAGAAGAAACTAAAACCATGTTTAATTATCCTGTTATTGAGAGAAAACTCTATACATTAACAAAAAACAAAGATTAAGCCCCACCCACCCACCCCTGTCTCAATTGCGATAAATTTCAGATCATAATTTCGTCTAGAGGAATGAGGATTTTGCAACTAAACTCAGCCCTTCAGCTCACGATGAATAAAACATTAATCATAATTGAGAATGGGTGGGTGGGCGGGGCCTATATTTTGTCCATTTTTCTTAATATACAAAGCCTTCTTTTTCCAAGAAGAAACTAAAACCATGTTTAATTATCCTGTTATTGAGAGAAAACTCTATACATTAAAAAAAAAAAAAAATTAAGCCCCACCCACCCACCCCTGTCTCAATTGTGATGAATTTCATATGATAATTTCGCGTAGAGGAATGGGGATTTTGCAACTAAACTCCGCCCTTCAGCTCACGATGAATAAAACATTAATCACAATTGAGAAGGGGTGGGTGGGCGGGGCCTATATTTTGTCCATTTTTCTTAATATACAAAGCCTTCTTTTCCCAACAAGAAACCGAAAAATGTTTAATTATCTAGTTGTTGAGAGAAAACTCTATACATTAACAAAAAACAAAGATTAAGCCCCACCCACCCACCCCTGTCTCAATTGCGATAAATTTCAGATCATAATTTCGTCTAGAGGAATGAGGATTTTGCAACTAAACTCCGCCCTTCGGCTCACGGTAAATAAAACATTAATCACAATTGAAAAGGGGTGGGTGGGCGGGGCCTATATTTTGTCCAGTTTTCTTAATATACAAAGCCTTCTTTTCCCAAGAAGAAACTGAAACCATGTTTAATTATCCTGTTATTGAGAGAAAACTCTATACATTAAAACAAAAAAAAAAAAAAGATTAAGCCCCACCCACCCACCCCTGTGTCAATTGCGATAAATTTCATATCATAATTTCGTCTAGAGGAATGAGGATTTTGCAACTAAACTCCGCCCTTCAGCTCACGATGAATAAAACATTAATCATAATTGAGAATGGGTGGGTGGGCGGGGCCTATATTTTGTCCAGTTCTCTTAATATACAAAGTCTTCTTTTCCCAAGAAGAAACTGAAAATATTATACCCGCCCCGATTTCAATTCTCAATTGTGATGAATTTTTCATTAGTTGTCAGATCGAAGGGCGGGGCTTAACTGCAAGATCCATATTTGTCTAGAAGAATTTACCATTTAAAACATGTTTTAAGTTTCTTGTTCTGAAAAGACGACTACGTATATTAAGAAAAAAAAACAAAATATAAGCCCCGCCCACCTGCCCTATCTCGATTGTGATCATTTTTTTTTAATCGTCGAGAGCCAAAGGAGCGGAGCCTAATTCCAAAATCCACATTTCCTTACAAAAATTTACCATTTTAAACGTGATTTAAGTTTCTAAGAATAAAAAAATCATCACAATTGAGATGGGGTGGGTGGGCGGGGTTTATATTTTGCTTTTTTTCTTAATATGCATAGTATTCTTTGAACAACACGACACTCAAAAACATGTTTTCAATTTCTTGTAAAGAAATAAGTATTTTGCAGTTAAGCTCCGCCCCCTTGATTCACGGCGAATAAAAAAATCATCACAATGGAGATTGGGCGGGTGGGCGGGGTTATATTTTGCCTTTTTGTTTTAATATGTGTAGAATTTTTTGCCCAACAAGAAACTTAAAACATGTCTAAAATGGAAAATTTGTATAAGGAGATATCGATTTTGCAATTAGGCTCCGCCCTTTAATTCCAAAATCCATATTTCTTTGCAAAAATGTACCATTTTAATCATATTTTAAGTTCTTGTTGTGAAAAGATGGCCATGTATACTAAGAAAAAAATAAGGCAAAATGTGATGTGTTATTTTCATTTATACAAATATTCCACTAAAGGTGGTAGGGTGTAAGAATCGGGTCTAACCAAGTCAGGTCATATCAAATTGAATTATTTTTCATCAACAATTTGTTAAATATTTCTAAAGACTGAGTGACACATTTATGACACCAAGTCTGTCAAGTTTCAACCAATCAACAGGTTTGTTAGGTGCGTTTATGTCAAAACTGACAACTCTGAACGGACATTCTGGCATGTCTGCCAACATAAAAATTTGCTAAAGTCATTGATAGTTACCCGGTATATAGATGCACATTTTCTCTATTATTTGCTGAGTTATTGTAAACAGGTTATACTTAGTTAAACCAGAGTTAAACTCTCTTATAGCTATAAAAATCCACTTCGTGTCCACATAGGCAACACACAATACACCAGCAACGTACTTTGCGAATTACCAAAAATGACTCAACTTTTATCAGTTTTATTTGCTCAAATAAACAGCTACATTGTTAGCGATAATCAAATTCCAAGGTCATAAAAAAGCCAAAAATAAATACTTTATCACATTTAAAAGTAAAACTCACAATTTCGCCACCTTTTAGATCTAAGTAACACCTTAACAACACAACAAAATTTATTAATAAATTTTTCAACCTCTAAATACATCTGATGCGTCTACTTCGTTTGAAGGACTTTGTCCACCCACAGACTCAACTTATCTTCGTCTTGGAGACCCGTCAGCCGCTCCTGGACCTTCCCATTCCGGAAAACCACTAAGGCGGGAATTGTGCTAACCTACAATTGCGCTCAATTACTAGCTATTGCGACTCCAACTGACTTTAACCTCATATTTGGCTGCCAACTCCCCCATAGAGTCAATATCGACCTTCGCGAGCGTGATCTTGCCGTGTCTTTTGGCCATAATGCTCTCCAAACGGGGCTCCAAAGCCTTGCATGGTCCACACCAACTAAAACAGGCAATCCGTCGAAACAAAGCAATGACAGTGGGAAACTTCCACGCGAAAGCGAAGAACTCACGTCGCGAAAAAATCCACAATCACTGGTTCCTTGCTATTCTCGACCTTTTCCAGAAAATCCTTGTCATCTTGGACCTTGAAGGACCCATGTCGAACACTGGTCAAACTCAACCTGGCTAAATTCCAACCGGCGCTGCCTTTCGTCAAGCTTCTAAGGACGCCCTGACTCACTACAGTATTCATGTTGTACACTAGAATTTTCCAACCCTGTAACCTTTCTTCGAAACTTATTTATGATAAATGCGACTAGAATGATGGAATGACAGGTGACAGGCCGCTCAAAATCCATACAACGCAAAATCCACACCCCGCGCGTCACACACGCAACAACTCCGAAAACCCCGCGATAAAAACAAAATGATACAACAAAACGTAAACAATTAAACAGACCCGAATGGAAAAACGCACGGTGGACGAAACCGTCGCGGAAAAATCGGCCCCGTTACGTCAAACGTGACGTCACGGCCGCAACTGTCAAACATGTCAAAACAACAGTAAAAATGGACGACACGACGACATCAGTTAAATAGGTTGTGTGTTCGAAAAGTGTAATAGTGTCGGCTTTTGCGTATTTTCGGTCGAATTATGGTCGATAGAAACGAGAAGGTGCTGCTGGAGTTGCTAAAAGTGCCCGGGAACAATTCTTGTGCGGACTGCGGCAGCAAAAGTGAGTAGGATTCCGGGAAATGTGCCATGTTTGACCATGCCATGGCTAATAACTTGTAAACAAACCGATTGAACGGATGCGATGGTCGCGTTCGGCGCCGCTATCGATCAGAGCGGGGGCCCGGCGGCCGGGGGCGGTGTGGCGGGCCCCGAGAGACCGGGGGCGGCGTGGCGGCGGCCGCTGTTTTGGCGGCGGTCGGGGCGAATTGACGGGTTTGGTGAATCAACAAGCGGCGCTTAAGTGGGGCACCGAGGAGGAAATTAAATAAGAATGCGGTAGACGGATGGACCGTTAACGCGGGGATTGTTGGGGGGCGGCGGCGTGAAAAAACGGTTGAGGAATTTGTCTTCTAGTTGTAATCGTAGCGAGACAGTTTTTTTTTTTTGTATTGTTTGGAGACAGCAGTTTCCAAAAAAATGAAGGGGGTTTTTTGATGCCCTTTCATTTTTTTTTTACTTGTTTATATGTATGCGGTTTGAAAATGAACGTATTACATGATTGAGGAAAAAAGTCGTTTAGTAAGCCGTGAAATTTATTTTTAAATGATGATGTCAAACTAAACAACGAATGCTGTGGTGTTGCCAACATGTTTTTTTTAACATTAAATTTCAAAGAAGTCTGACCTGACCGAACTTGACTTGACTCGCCTTGACTTGGCAAACATCAGGTCATCGCTCTAAGTGTGAAGGAAGTATTGTATAAATTCTTTATACCGATTTTTTTATTAACATTAACATTTTAGAAACTATTGTTTTCACGTTAGTGGATCGTGTATAGTATACAAGTACAGGGAAAAGCGAAAAATTGGAGTGGAGAGATGAAAAAAATCAACAAAGCCCTTTTTGTTTCCCGAGCATAAGCTACAGAAGTATTGTAATCGAGTCCATCGGGCGACTCGCTACTTGCATGTTTTCTCGATACTTCATGACCCATATAGTACGAAAAATAGGGCTCGATTTTTTACTTTTTCGAATTTTCGGCTCTCCGATTTTTCAACTTTTGTTTTCTCAGTTTTTTCATATTTCAGTTTTGGGATTTTTCAGTTATTCGATTCCTCAATTTCCGGATTTTTCAATTTTTTATTGTTTCAGTTTTGGGATTTTTCAATTTTTGGAATCTTCAATTTCTCAATTTTCCGAAACGTATTTCAGTTTTACGATTTTTTCAATTTTTTTTTATTATAAAATTTTTCGCTTTATCGATTTATTAATTTGTCAATATTTCAATTTAGGGATTTTTCAATTTTTTGATTTTTCCATTTCTCGATTTTTCAATTTTCGATTATTCAGTTTTCGGTTTTAGATTTTTCGATTTTTCAATTTTTTTTTATTTTCAGTTTTTCGATTCCTCGATCTTGATGTTTCCATTTTTCGATTGGGCGATTTCCTGATTTTTCGATTTTTTTTTAATTTCTTGATTTATCGGTTTTATTTAAATTTTTCAATTTTTAATATTTCGGTTTTTCGATTTTGGGCTATTTCGATATTTCGACTTTTCGATTTCTTGTTTTTTCCGATTTTTCAACTTTTCATCTTTTCGATTTTCCAATTTTTCGATGTTTCGATTTTAAAATTTTACACTTTTAGTGGTTTCAGGCTTTGATGTTTCTATTTCTCAGTTTTTAAATTTTTTATTGCATTTTTAAAATTTTATAAAATTTCAGTTTTTTGATTTTTCGATTTGCGGACATGCCGGTTTTTTCGATTTTTCGATTCAAGTTTTTGATTTCTCTGTTTTTCAACGTTTCAATTTTGTGATTTTTTCCAAGTTTTCGAGTTTTTAAATTTTAGATACTTCGTTTATCGATTTCTCGATTTACCGATTTCGATTTTTCGATTGTTCAGTTTCCCGATTTTTGAATTTTTCAATTTTCCGGTTTTTTTTAAATTTTTCATTTTTAATTTTTCAACTTTTCGACTTTGGACTACACATTTCGATTTCTCGGTTTTTCGATTTTTCAAATTTTTAATGTTTGGATTTTGGGATTTTTCAATTTCTAAGTTTTGCAATTTTCAAGTCATCAATTTTTCGGTTTTTTAAATTTAGATTTTTTGATTTTTCCATTTCTCGTTTTTTTGATTTTTCAGTGTTTTGGTTTTTCGATTTTTTGATTTTCAAGTTTTTTATTCCTCAATTTTTTAAAGTTTCAATTTTGGGAATTTTTTAAGTTTTCGATATTTTATTTGATTTTTCGATTTTTGGCGTTTTTAAATTTTCAATTTTCGATTTCCCATTTTTTCGGGTTTTTGGATTTTCCAATTTTTCTTTGATTTTTCAAGTTTTGGATTTATCGATTTGTTGGTTTTTCTATATTTCAGTTGAGGAATTTTTCACTATTTCGTTTTTAAACTTTTCGATTTCTCGATTTCTTGTTTCGATTTTTTTAACTCTTGGAATTTTTGATTTTTCGGCTTTTTGGTATCTCGATTTTCCAACTTTCGATTTCTCACATTTTTTGTATTTCAATTTTGGAATTTTTCGGTTTTTCGATTCTTCAATTTCCGGATTTTTCAGTTTTTGGATTCTTCAATTTATCTCTACGTATTTCAGTTTTCTTTGATTTTTAAATTTTTCGATTTATCGATTTTTTAATTTTTCAACTTTTTGATGTTTCCATTTCTCTATTTTTCAATTTTGCGATATTTTAATTTTTCATATTCCGATTTATTAATTTTTCGACTTTTCGGTTTTAGATTTTTCGATTTTTCAATTTTTTTTTATTGCCAGTTTTTCGATTTCGCCATTTTCGAGGTCTTGGTGTTTCGGTTTATCGGTTTCATATGCATTTTTCATTTTTAATAATCCGGTTTTTTTGATTTTGAGCTATTTCGAATGTCGACATTTTTCTATGTTTCGATTTTGGGATTTTTCACTTTCTCAAGTCTGCAAATTTTCGATTCTTCAATTTTTCGATATTTTGAATTTTCCGATTTCTCCATTTTGCGTTTTTTTTTTTAATTTCTCAGTTTTTTGGTTTTTCGATTTTTTAAATTTTACACATTTCGATGTTTCGGTTTTTTGGATTTTTTGATGTTTCGATTTCCCGAGTTTCTTATTATTTCAATTTTTTGATTTTTCAAGTTTTTGATTCCCCAATCTTTCGACATTTTATTTAATTTTTAATTTTTTTTAAATTTTACACATTTCGGTTTGTCGATTCTGGATTTAGCGATTTTTCAATTCGTTAACTTTCAGATTTTTCAATTGTTTAACTTTTCGGATTTCCTTATTTCGGTTTTTCAATTTTTCGATTTTTAAAAATTTTTGATTTTTCATTTTTTTTTTATTTTCAGTTTTTTGATTTCTTCATTTTCGAGATTTTGATGTTTCTATTTTTCGATTGTTCAGTTTCCTGACTTTGATTTTTTTTTATTTATCGATTTATCGATTTTATTAAAATTCTTCAATTTTTAATATTTCGGTTTTTTGATTTTGGGTTATTTCGATATATCGATTTTTCAATGTTTTGTATTTTTGTTTTTTTCGAGTTTTCGACTTACCGTCTTTTCGATTTTTCGAGTTCAGCATTTTTAAATTTTTTGATTTTTCAATTTTTCCATTGTTCAATTTTTGGATTTTTTAAATTCCAGATATTTAAATTTCTCGTTTTTTTTTTATTTTTCAGTTTTTCGAGTTTTCGATTTTTTAAATTTTACATTTTTCGATGTTTCAGAATTCAGACCTTTGCGTTTTTTCTTAATTTTTTAAATATTTCATTTTTTTGGTTTTTTGAATTTTGGATTTCTAGACACCTTGGTTTTTTCGATTTCTCGATTCTTCAGGTTTTTAATTTCTCACTTTTTCAACATTTCGAGTTTGGGAATTTTTCAAGTTTTGGATATTTTAATTTTTTGATTTTTTAAATTTTAGGTGTTTCGGTTTATCGATTTGTCGATTAATTTTCGCTTTTTCGATTTTGCGATTTTTAAAATTTTTCGTTGTTTTGATTTTAGGATTTTTCAATTTCTGAAGTCTGTAACTTTTCGATTTTTTAAATTTTAGATTTTTCGATTTCTTCATTTTTCGTTTTTTGATTTCAATTTTTTGATTTTTGGATTTTTTAAATTGTACACATTTCGATGTGCCAGTTTTTTGACTTTCAAGTTTTCGATATTTATTTAATTTTTCGATTTTTCGGGTTTTTGGATTTTTCCATTTTTCTTTGATTGTTCACATTTTGGATTTATCGATTTATTAATTTTTCCATATTTCGCTTTGTCGAATTTTTTGCTTTTTCGGCTTTTTGATGTCTCAATTTTTCAACTTTCGATTTCTCACCTTTTCTGTATTTCAGTTTTGGGATTTTTGAGTTTTTCGATTCTTCAATTTCCGGAATTTTTTAAATTTTAGATTTTCCAATTTCCCATATCTCGTTTTTCTGTTTTTTCAGTTTTTTGGTTTCTCGATTTGTTAAATTTTACACATTTTGATATTTCGGTTTTTTGATTTTAGAATTTTCTGATGTTTCGATTTTCCGAGTTTCTTATTATTTCAATTTTTTGATTTTTCAAGTTTTCGGTATTTTATTTAAGTTTTCGATTTTAAAAACCTTCCGCCAATTTTTTTGTTAAAGTGTCGATCTTTAGCACTTGAAAGTTTCCTCTCTCCTCACTTTTATCAATCGATCGTTATTATTAATTAACCATGTTATAAATAATACAACATTGTTGTTATTATTTAACGAGAAAATGATGAAATCCCGCCTTCTAACTAGTCGAAAATATTTACGAACCACTGACCCCATAGACCTAGAATCGCTCTGCAAAATAACCGCTTCAAAACAGACTTTTCAAAATTTGCCAAAAATCGTTCACAAGCCATAATAAATCAAAATATTTGTGTCAATCATTGTTTTTGTCCGCCTGGAATGTTGTTTTTGTTTAAACGGTTTATTTCGATTGGTAAAAACAAAGCCTAGACCCAAAAGCGACCTCGTTCTCGTACCGCGAGAGTAGGAGTCAATACCTTGACTTCTCTTTGACACACATCTGTCATTCATT